TCCTGGATCAACATAACTGTCCAAAAATATAGAGTAAACCCAATCCCAATCCCTACCCCTAAACCTAACCCTACCCATACTTTATTCCTAAAATCAGTGTGAAATGATAGCTGATTAACAAGGGTGTAGAAGCACCTAACCCTGATTGTAAGCCTAAAACTGATATTTCCTTTAAAGTTATCCCTCAATTCTGATTGGTTGATTGGAATGTTGATCCAGGAACATGTTGTACTTGGTGAAATCACGGTCACCTATATATACAGCACCTTTCCTTACAAAGCACACAAACCATCAGAAATCTGATCTGAAGCGTGACATGTCGAGATGAGCCCATGTAGGTTTTAAAGCAGTCGAGTGCCTCTCTTCCCATAATTCTCATCACCATCGGCGAGCCCGAAGGACCAAGGGCAGCAAAAACAACAGAATGGAGAGCATCTGTGTCCGTACAGACAGCTGACCTCTGAATAACTCACATAAACACCGGCTGTAAAAGAGAAACTTTACAACCACACCGAACAAAACACTACAGACGAGACAGTCAGAAAGAATAAAACACCCTATTCATGATCAGAAATTCATTCATGCTCCGCAAACACTGTATGATTGCATGAGGATGTTTGGCATTTTCTGCCTGCCGAATGTTATTAAGATCCGTAACCTCGTGGTCACATTTTCTCATAGACCAAACAGACCCTCGAGGTACAACAAACACCTTCTTACATTAACATGGTAGAAATGTGATACACAGTTTATTCTGAGGGAGTTATTTTGTTGGTAGGCCCCGAGTGAATCCTGTGACATTAATCCTCCAGACAGACTGAAGCCTGCGCAGGACACAGTTCATTCCACCTGAAGTTTAAACAGAAAACCCATCATAAACAAACCCTCAGTGCAGGGTGCGAACTACGGGGGAGCTAGGGGGAGCTCGGCTCCCCTTAATAAGACATGGGCTCCCCTGAAAACGTGATTTGTGAAATTTTGGGGGGTCTCAAAAAATATTGACAACGTGTTATTTTGACGTGCAATTTCAGTTTTGTGTAATGTGATCATCGTGGATTATTATGTGTAAAATTGCAAAAATATCATTCATTCATGAATGACGGCGATTTAAACCTAATTCACTTCAATAAAGATAACTATACATGCTATTCTTGTCATGAGCATCAAGGTGTGGGGGCGCTGCGGTGCAAATTCCTACGGTGGCCGAGAGAGCTCAAGGCACTGCAACTTAAGAAAACACATGCAAATTGAAAAAACACCAGCAAATTAAGAAAACATCTTCATCAGTTTGACGTTGTTTCACCTATCAGTTCGTGTCGATAAAGTATAATAGGGTAAATCCTGTATAGTGATTTATCCTATATAGTGCTTGCATAAAGCAAGTAGTGCATACACTTGTAGCAGTTATGTATCTTTGTAAGTCATTGTAAGCCACGCGTAAGGCACTCGCAAACGCACGAACCCCCCCGTTATAAAAAAACAAGTGGGCTCCCACAAAGTCCACAGTATAGTTCGAAGACTGCCTCAGTGCATAGCAGCACCAAACACACACATCCACACGACACAAAATCACATCAGATCTGTTCATTATCTCAATTGTTTTTGCTGGTCTCTCCTGTTTCTCAGATGTTTTCCTCTCACTCTCAGTAACAGAGAAAGAGCATCAGACTTTTACAGCTCTATACTCTGGCTCTGTGTCAAGTATTGACTCATTTGTGTCTATTTGTATTTCACCAAATAAATTTTAGGGAGAAACATTCGAGAAACTTAAGCAAAACGAAAACATGACATCTGATCTATAAAAGAGCAACATCTGACAAATATATCTTACTATCAAACAGTAAAAAAAATAACAATTGCATCTAAATAAATAAATAAATGATTCACATATATATGCAATGGGATATTATGAACAGTTGATAAATAAATAAATATTTTGTGTGTGTGTGTATGTATGTAAATGAATCCAAGAACCCTGCGACCAGAGCGGATGAATAAAAGATTGAATGACAAACTAGACTTTTACACTGTCTGAAGAAAATGTGAGAGGAGTTTCCCTGAGAAAACTCATCAGATTTGGAGAAATGTAGCATTGCATCAGTGTCTCAGCAATGGATGCTCTGCAGTGAATGGGTGCCGTCAGAATGAGAGTCCAAACAGCTGATAAAAACATCACAATAATCCACAAGTAATCCACAGCACTCCAGTCCATCAGTGAACATCTGGAGAAGACAAACGCTGAAACAAATCCAGAATCAAGATGTTTTTAACTTCAAACCATTGCTTCAGGTAAAATACAAGTCCATAATCCATAAAAAACTTCCTTCAGTGAAAAAGTGCATCTCCAGTTGTCTCTCACATCAAAATCCAGCCACATATTAGTTTAGAGCTGTTTAAACAGTGCTTGATCTGTGCAGATTTCTCTCCTGATTCACACCAGAACACTTTTTCACTGGAGGAAGGGTTATTATGGATTATGGACTCAGATTTGAGTTAAAAAAACGTCTTAATGCTGGATTTGTTTCAGCTTTTGTCTTCTTCAGATGTTAACTGATGGACTGGAGTGGTGTGGATTACTTGTGGATTATTGTGATGTTTTTATCAGCTGTTTGGACTCTCATTCTGACGGCACCCATTCACTGCAGAGCATCCATTGCTGAGACACTGATGCAGTGCTACATTTCTCCAAATCTGATGAAGAAACAAACTCATCCTAATCTTGGATGGCCTGAGAGTGAGCGCACTTCCAGCACATTTAAATTTTTGGTGAACTATTCCTTTAATGTACAAAAAAAAAATGGTACTACCAACAAAAACTTTCTTTGTCAGCCTTAAAGAGAAATATACAGGAGACGTTCCTGGTTTTTATCTTAGTGTTTTTGATCTGCTTTCTAATATTGTGAACTTCTTCCCTTGTGCTGCTGTCACACTTAATAGAGCACAACCGTGATTCCAGAAATAAAAAAATAAAAAAAAACATTAATTTTCTCCATAGAGAAAACGACTTTCAGTGATAAAGCACCTTGAGTGACAGACTTGAGTGCACTTTAAAGTTGCTTTCGATAAAAGCATCTACCAAACACATAAATGCAAATGTAAAACAATACTTCACCCAAAATCGTGACGAGAGATTCATCACTCAGAGTTCTCAAAACTACTTACATTTTTGTATATATCTGCATACATTGCAATGAAGTTAAAATATATTTGATGTAAGGAACTAGTTCAAGTTCAAAGGGAATCGAACCCAAAGATTTTAAATCAACTCGATTCAAAATTGATAGTTTACACTTTATCAACTATTCGTCCAGCGAAACGTTCAAATTAGTATATCTTAACAATTTTGATATTTATATTATTCCCTTGGCCAAAGGTCATAATACTGTACATGCTAGTGATAATGTATTTGCTAGGTAACAAGATCTGGGCATGAGGTTAGCTTTATAAACACAGAACACAAGACACTGCTTCTTTAAAATTAAACAAGAATTTATTATTTGCTACTCTAAGATACATGAAACTACTACTAAAAACACACACAAACACACACACACACACACATACAGTTGAGAGGATGAGAGTTACTGTGTTTGAGTGAAGTCCCAAAAGTCTAGTAGCTGCTAGTTCTTAAATCGCACCCCAAGAAAATCACAAAAGCAGAGATTTGGCTTATTTTTAGCTACTTAAGATAGATTCAGCACCAATTTTTTTTTGCGAGAAAGGAGACTTTGTTTACTTGCGTTTGGTTGAAAACATGGTTTTCCTCGTTGGCTTGTCTCAGGGAATCACGACGCTTCTGATTGGTTGGCGAAATATTATAATAATAGAAATAGAAATATTATAGAAATGAATAGAAATATTATAATATAATAATATGAAATAGTATTATTACAATGTAAAATAGCTGTAAATATATAGTAAAATGTAATTTATTCCTGTGATGCACAGCTGTATTTTCAGCATCATTACTCCAGTCTTCAGTGTCACATGATCTTCAGAAATCATTCTAATATGCTGCTTTGCTGCTCAAGAAACATTTCTGATTATTATCAATGTTGAAAACAGTTGTGCCGACAAATAGGTATTTTTGTGGAAACTGTGATACATTTTTCAGAATTTCAGAAATATTTTTCAGAACTCTCTGATGAATAGAAAGTTTAAAAAAAACAGCATTTATTTGAAATCGAAATCTTTTGTAACATTATAAATGTCTTTACTGCTTAATTTAATGCATCCTCGTCAAGTATTAATTTCTCTCAATAAATACTGTAGATATTTAATAAATACTGTAAACATTTTAAGTGGAGACTGATGCATGCTGCTATAAGTTGAAAAGCATCATATATTTGATGTCATTCACTGAACTTCAAAATAAACACATCACAAGCGCACAGCCAGAGAAATCACTACGAAAACCGAGACCTTTTCCAACAGGAGACTTTCTGATCCGCCTCTCACCCGACTGGAAATCTCCCGAACGGGATCTGCATAATTGTTTGAAGCCAGCGTGTTGTTTATAGATCAGCAGGGTGTAAACGAGCGCCTGAAGACAGCGGTGGAAAATTACGAGGCCTGACGATTAAAAAACACTAGCGGTGTGCCTCATTAAACTTACAGTAGATTTTCCTAAACAATCAGTAATTAACAACACGGCCCTCCATCATAAATCCACATTAAGACTCGAGGCCATAAAACAACAGGTCAGATGAGGCGATCGCTGTAAACGCTAACAATAAAATCATACCATAATTCATAAATGAGATGACAGCGGGAACACGGCTGGCCTTTTCCCAGCCTGATTGATGAGCTCTGAATGTATAACACATGAAACTAGACTCATCGATAAGTGTATTTATATTCCGAGGGGTTTTGCATGCGACGCTCCTGAAGCACAGCACAGCGCAGGAGCCCTCGGTCCCAGACACACACCGTCAGAGACCGACAGCTGCATAAAAATGACCAGCAAGTGATGAGTGTGGTTTGGCAGGAACATTTATCACGTCTACACTGTGTTTTTACTCAGAGAGAGAAACAGAGAGGAGGTCTGGCTTAAAAACCTTCAAACACTTGACACTAGTCAAAAACTGACTCTTCTGAAAACATTATAAACTGTGGTAAAACAGTGTTGTTTTGGACACATACTCTGGTGAGTAAGTGCATGGTAAAAACATGGTATTCCTGGAAGTGCTTTAGAATACCAATAAAATTCTAGGGCTGGGAATTGGCATAAACCTCCCAATTCTATATTATAATGATTTTGAGCTGCCAATTCCA